TTTTAACTTTATTAATTTGTGCTTGCAATCCGAATCCGAGTCCGAATCCGAATGCAAATCAGTGCGAGCGCCGATGCGCGCGCGCGTTCCGCTCACAAATACATTGAAATCAATTAAACCCGTTGTCGTCATCGTTCTCGTCTCAAGCACGAGCGGCGGCCACGCATACACTTGCTGCTGCTGTTGTTGTTGTTGTTGTTGCTGTTGCTGCTCTCGCACTTGTTGCTCGCGCTCTCACGGCGATCTCTGCGACGCAGCAGCAGCAGCAACGGTGGCGACTGTGACGACGGCAGCGTCGGCATTCGACACCAAGCAATGGGCCAGGCATCATTACGGCTTGTCGTTCTTTAGGATTTTAGTTCATCGATCTCAGCGTAAGTGCTCGCAACATGACGCTCGACGCTCGTCGCTCGTCGCTGTGACGCTACCGTCTGCGTTGAAACGGCAAAAGCTTTATTTTATTTATTTTTTTTTCTTGGTGTTATTGTGCGCGCTGCTTGAAATTATTTTCAATTATTATTTATTCAAAGTTATTCGGTTTTTTTTTTATTTTTTTTTTTGTTTTTATATAAATATTTTGTTGTTGTTTCACTGTAGTCGATCCATACGCAGATCGCTGATCGTTGTCGTTGTCGTTCTCGTCGCCGTCACTGTCGTGTGTGCATTTAATTTGATTGTTCCAATTCATATACATATGTATGTGTGTACGTAGTGTGCGTCTATATTTCCTTTTATCAGCAACGATTTAAAGTGCGACGACGCACGACGGCTCTCTGTTATCGTTAGCCGTCATGAGCTGATCGTGTTCCGATCGGCCGCAACGATTTATCGCTTTATATCGCCGAAAAAAATGTCTAACAATTTCGTACAAATATAATAACAAAAAAAAAAAAAAAAAAAAAAAAAAAGAAGAAGAAGAAAAACAACAAAAACTTTGTGCACAAATAAATAAACTGCAAACAATGCGCTTGCAGTCGGAAAATTGTACGGGGACAAAAAAAAAAAATAAACGCAGATACTGTCTCTCTACCTCTCCCTCTCTATCTATCTATTTCGCGCGCACTCTCTCACATAGCTGCGGAAAAGCCGAAGCAAAACAAAATGTAACGAAACGATACAAAACGGAATGTTAACGAAAGCGAACGATCAGTGCTGTGGTTAAGCAGCTTTATCTTATCGCTGCCAACGCCGCTAGACCGTCTCGAAGACAGCCCCAGTCGCAGAACCCCATAGAGCACACATCGTTTACCCGCTGACCGCGAGCACAAAAAAAAAAAAAAAGAAAATTAAATAAAAACGAAAAGAAAACAATTTAAATTCGCGTTCGGTATTGAGGTTCGATTTAACATATCAAGTGTTCCCAAAGTTAAAGAAGTTGAAGCAGTTAAAGAATCATTCACAGAATTTCTTGTAATATCAGTGATTTTTGTGTATTTTTCTTGTTGTCGCTTAACATTCAAACAATTTGTTAAATTTGTTATAGTAAAGCTTTTACTAAAAACATGTCAATATTCAGAGCTCACTTGAATTCTTTAGCTGATCTTATGATGTACGAAGTAGACCTATAGAACACAGCGTATTACTATCATGAATCTCTGTAGCTCTCGAGTATTTTCTATACATACTCCCTGAATACAGTTATTCAAAATCATGCACAGAAAAACAAGAATTTAAATATTATATTTAACAAAAAATAGAATTGTTCAAGTCCCTGCAGCATTTTCTATATAACATTCAATATGTATTGATTATATCTCAAAGTTCATTGATATTTTGTATAATTTAATCATTTTGAAATTTTATTTAAACATAATGCTAATTTACTTCGCATATAATACAATTCCTAGGAGCTTCCATTTATGTTTGTTCTTTCTTTTTTTTGTACTTTTGCAATTTCATCGCAACATTTGTGTTCATCTGAATGCTTAAAGTGATTTGAGTTCGGCCTTAACGACGGAGCCTAAGTCCGATGTAAAATGAATTCGAAATTTGTTGAGCTCGACAACTATTAATGGCCAACCGGTCTGGCTATCGTTGGTCGCATAGCTGAAATCAGCGTGAAGGGGAATTTTGTTTGTTCAGTTGGTCAATCTGAAGATTATATCCAAGAAATTAGCGAGTTCATCACTTTCAGTTTGAGAGATAACATTCTGTTTTTAGCTTTGCATTCAGAGATCAGAGTAATTTTATCATTAGTCTGAAAACTGTTTATCTGCCTGCCCAATTGTAAATAACTGAAAGTAGGTCAAAAAAAAAAAAAAAAAAAAAAAAAAAAAAAAAAAAAAGAAAAGATAATCAAATATTTCATTCAAATGTTAAAAATCGATAATTAGTAAATTCGCAGAACTAGATCATTGTTTATATATTATGCTACAATATGCATTGTATATGCCCAATATACCCATTCTCACTTCATTAACAGAGTATAATATAAGGCTTAAACCTGCGCCAGGCTCCGTTTCCCTTTCCTGGTTTCCACACGGACAAACAAAGAAAATTAGCTTCGCTGTTGATTTTATCGAAGTAGTTGTGATGGAAAAGTAAAAGGGCTATCGAAACCAGTTATAGCTGCAGGCATAACTGTAAAAAAAGGAAGAACGCCAAAAAGCTCAAGGCAGCTACTTGGTCGAAACTTGTTTAAAGCAAGCTCACCCGTAATAAGCCGCATAAAGAGCTCAAGCAATTTAATACAATATCATTGTCGTGTTGATTATATGATTATATTAGCAAAAGAGCTCGAATTCTAGGGATCAATTAAAGATCGCTACAGAACAGAGCACAAAAATATTTATATCTCTTCTATTCGATTCTCATACTTATATATATCTTTTTTATCTACATGTTTTTGTATTCATACTTAAATGTTTTAAGCTACTTCAGGCATTTAACAAAGTTCTTCTATTCAAGTCTCATATTTATATATTCGAGTCTTTGATCTAAATGTTTTTCCCCAGTCATTGTTAAGTTTGGTAATTGACTTGGCTTTTTGGCTATTGTGATTTTATAGATATTTAAGAGCGAATTTCTATACGATTCTCATAATGAATGTTTGATATTTCTTAATGATTTTTCTGTGTTCTCTGAGTGAACTTTGTTTGAAATATTTTAGGCTGCTTCAGTTGCAATTCTAGGGTATCTCTTTGTTGAGCGACAACAACGAAAATATATATTTTCAATATACACATACATATGTATTTACTGTCTGTATATTTTGAACATTCTTTTGTGCGGTTTGCTTCGGGATCGCGGCACATAAAAATAAATGCGAATTTTGAAAACAAAACAAACAAACGCGAAAAACGTTAATTTCCAGAGACGCGCGTTTTGTTAGCGTTTTCTACTCTAAAACAAAAAAAATATCTGTTTTCGTTTTATTTTTAGCTAGTAACAACTATTCACAAAACAAAAAACCAAAACCAAAAAAAAAAGGGAATGAAATGTTGTAAATAAAAAATACAACTGCAATAACAAAACAAACAAATCATGTATTTATTATGAGCATTAACCAAGCAACACAAACAAAACAAAACACAAATGTACAAATAAAAAAGTAAAAGTCTATTGTAATGCCAAACAAGCCACAAAACAAAAATGATCTAATTAGTTCAATTCAACAAGCAAAGTGACAAAATATCAACAAAAGCAACGTGCCAACTACAATCAACCAAAA